AACCAGTAATTGATTGTTTCTTTATAAAACCTTCAAAAGTATCTGACCCGATGTTAGTTGTTAGGTGGGGTAAGGAAAAAAGTATCTACCTGGTTCGTCCAAACTACTAACTGCCAATGCGAATTCACTAGTCACAACTCGGCTTTTTGACAAAAAGTCCTGCCCCAGAGCCAGGAACTTGGGCCAGTTGCCTGAATTCTAAATGAGTTGACCGCAAGGCACCAGTCTCACATGCATTCGTGTCATCACGAAAAGCAATGGCTTCGAGATCATTCGTACTTGGTCAACATTGAAAGAAAACGCAGTTTTTTGACGGTGGCAGGATGGAGGAACGACTGACCGATTGAAAAAACACTAAAATGCAGTATTTTTTCAGTCGCACAAAGCCTGGACCTGGAATATGCAGCAATCACATTGGCTCAGCCACTGCGGCTGGATCGGGCTGCAAGACCATGTGTTTATTGAGAGCGAGCCCCGATCCCACCCATTGCGTCTGCACCAGCAGGCCTACGTGAGATGCTGACGCATGGTCCTATCCTTGAATTGATTGTGCATCTTATGCATTCATCAATCCGCACAGCAAGACGGATGACGGGATATTTCCAGCCTCTCTGTGGCTCGATGCGGCAGCTGAAAAAATTATGTCTGGCGCTTGACCGATCGGATGAGAGGTGCTCTAAATCAAGTCCCACCGAACTGGACCGAGATGATGGGCTCATAGGCCCAGTTGAACGGCCGAGCCAGCAGGCGGTCTTAACTTGAACCGGAAGGCCAGACAAACGGCGGGAGAAATCGATTTGTGCCCAATCAGCCGAGACAGGCGGTGGCAAATTCTGCCGGCGGCAGTCACAACAGCAGCCAGATAGGCAGGCTGGCCTACGGCGGGCAGGCTGGCATACAAGCCAACAGACACTCGGCACACTGGCACGTATGTCACGTTTCTGCAGGATCGGAGGCTCGGGCGCGCCAGATAAATGCAACTCTCGCTGCAAGCTGTCGCGCGCACACACACCTGCAGATCATCAGCACATACGTGCCTGCGGCCTGTCGTGCGCACCGCCGACCGGCAGGGTCAATAGGGGATGACTGGGTGGATCGATAGGGCGCGAGAGCCAGAAAAAAAGAGAATGCCCGTGCTGGATTAAATGAGGCAACGAAACATGGTCAGACCGGCAGGTACGTGGACGACTGACCGGCCGGCAACACGACCAGGCATTAAAAGGGGACTAGGAAGAGGAGGCAGAAAAAGGGCATCAAATGGGCTGCAAATGTCAGGCGGCTGCTGTAAATGATGGGGCTGTAATAAATTGGGAGAAATTGATGCTTCTCGAAGTGCTCGAGCGATGAACACAGAGAAGCAGGCCGCGATGATCAGCCCGAAGCAGCAGCCGTCGAGGAGCCTCGAAGTGAGGACAAAGAGGGTGGGAAAAATAAGCCCCAAATAGACCATCTTGCGGTTACGCGACGCCCCGGCGGCACACGTGATTGTACACGCACACCAGCAAGCCGACATCACGTCAGTCGGCAACAAGCAACGGGGACAATCTCGTAGCTGAAATGTCATGAGGTGTAGGCCAGTGGTAACCGCAAGAACCGAAAGTAAGGGCTTATTATTTCCGCTATGGCAATCGGGTGAATGATTAATTCGCAAGAGGCTGTGAACCAAGTGACTCTTGACCTCGCAAGCATCACTGTGGCACCATTTCATTTTCGATGTGGGTGTAACCCCGTCGGGTGTACTTACGAAGACAGTTCGGCTCAATCGACAACTCCACTGCCACCGGTGCCAGTGCAATACAGTCGTTACGTCGCCATGGTACCCACGAATCTGTACTAAATTCAGTGTAAACTGCAATTGAACTATCGAGAGGCGAGGCCATGTGAAATGCAATGACATCGTCTGACCATTTCATCTCATCGTGTGAAAACGCAACTCTTCTCTGCTTGTTCAGCTTGCCTCCATTTCGAGTGAGTGTTTGGTGTAGAGATTGGAAGTTCGATGCCACCAGAAGACAATGGCTGTCGATTGGCTCAACTGGAACATTGATGTTGACGCTGTTTCCGAGGCAATCTCCTTCGATTCTGGTGAAAACGTGCTAAGCTTTCGTTGACATATGACTGGAACTAACCAGATATAAAGTATATATACAGCTTTCTAGTGATATGTCTGTGAGTTTTCTTGATTCGTCAGCTTGAATTTGGTTGTTAGGATGATACCTTATTCTGATGATGTTCGTCATATGACAGACGAAAGCCTAGCCTGTTTTCATCGGAATTGAAGCAGATTACCTCCGAAACAGCATCAACAAGAATGTTCCAGTTGGGTCGATCGACAGCTGGTCAAGAGGGATCCGCCGTCGTCTTCTGGCGGAATCGACCTTCGAATCTCGTCACCAAACACTTTCACTAAAAATGGAGGTAAGCTCAACAACTTCTCTTCGCATCTTCTCTTTTTGACAAGTTACACCGCAACACACCCTGAGACGTGTAGAAAGGATAACCGTGTTGAAGCTGTCTGGATGACAGAAGATGTGTCGGAAAAACTAGTTGCATAGAAATTATTTGGCCTCGTTTTTATCGTGACTTGTCTCCTTGGTGAGTTGTAGTTTGGTGCTGAGACTGGCAGGACTCATTCACGGTACCGGCAAAAGGTCTGGGAATGCACCGAGTCGGCGGACTGATGCTATAAACTAACATGTCTGCTATGGCAGAATGATCCGGAAAGCTTGAGTTCGCCTAGATCCCTCCGACAACAAGACCGAGTTGCCAAAACGAGATTAGACCATTTATATACAACTAATGGAGACCACATACCCTCTATTGAAAAAGCCAGTTGCTTGTGATACGCAGGAAACCTGCATGTATGTTAATGATGAAGATAAATGAGCCGGATGCTAGTGGAGAAGGAAGCCGGAACCGGTAATATAAGACGGCTTGCAACCTGAACAAACTGTGGACGCCTATCTGTAGTCGCATGCTGAATCTCAAATGGATTTCTAGCACATTTTGGCCATAAAGTCGAATTTTTATGACGGTTTATTCGGAATTGATATCACTCACTGATGTCTTCGCTTGATTGCCGAAAATCCCCGCCCCTAACTTTCCTCATCGCGATGACTTTTCCCCTGATTAGCGATAAATCCCTGATCCACGCATCTCTTTTTTGCTGGCCTTGCTCTATACTTGCGAACTCTACCTACCTCCAATCTACTTTTCATTAGATTTTTTCTTCCGCTAGTTCTGATCTTTCGGTATCCATTTCCCTGCAGATCCTTTGATTTTCCTTGATTCGTATGCTAATTTTTCTCTCAGTTTCGCCAATATATTTCTGTTTGCACGCGCCTCATGATGTACAGTAAACTCCTGAACAATCCCATTTATCTATCCTCTCATGTTGCGTCGGTAGACTTGTGAAAAGTGTTGATTTATCTTTCATGGCCATTTGAATATTCCATTTCCTCAATATTGGCCGTAGTTTTTGAATTAGTTCGTAGGAAAGTATGCATATCCACTTTTTTTAATCATTCTCCGTCCTTACTGCTCTTTTATAGTCCCAGTTCTGACATCAGCTTTTCACGACCCGTATGTTTCTTTGTATTACTTCACTTGGGTAATCATTGCCGAGGGATATCCTAGTCAACATGTCCACTTCTCGTCCCAGAATTCTACATCCGTTAATCATAA